AGAGCTGCAACCAAATACCACAGCACGAGCTGGAAAGCCAAGGACCACCCTGGCATGGCTCTGCCCTTCCCAGATGCACCAGCTCACCCAGGCCTGGGGCAAGGCCTCCATCACAGCCCCCATCCTGAGGGGAAAGCTGCAGAAACAGCTCGTGTATCAAGTTAAACTGACCCAGAGCTCAGGTCCGAGGCACAGCCACAAGGACAAACAGATCCTGATAAAGAAGGCAGGAAAAGAGATCTGCTGCCAGGCTGGGAGCAGGGGAGGGAGCCCCTGCACTGACACATCTCTGGCAGGGCACAGACACCAGCCAGTGCTGACAGACCTCACCAAATGCTCCTCCTGCTGTGTGACACCCCTGAGCCAAGAGAGCTGCTTGGTCCTGCCTGGCCATGGTGGTGGGGTCACCCTAAATCTGCTGTATGGAGCAGGAGAACCCACGCTGGAGTTAACTCAGCTACAACACTGCCCCACAGTTATCCCAGCACAACTCCACCTGCAGCACCACCAGCAGAACAACCCACTCCCAGGAGAGTGCTGCAGGAGCTGTGCCTAATCCAGGTGGGAAATACAGCTCACTCAGGCAGCAGGAGAACCCCAGCACCATGGCTTCCCAGGACTTTGTTCAAAAGAAACTGGGAGCAAGGCAAAGCTGTACAGGAGAGAGCTGTCACTGACCCAGTGATCCCTGACTGCCCCAGCAGTGCAGCTCTGCCCACAGTGGTGCTCACTCACAGCCAGCTGGGCTCTCAGGCCTCTCATGGAAAGGGCCCCCATCCTCACAGTGGAACAGGTTAAAACTGCCTTACCCCCCAGAAGCATCAGCTCATCCAAGCACATCTTGGCCCTGCCAAGCTGCCCAGTCCCAGAGCAGCACCATCCCAGCATATCCCACAACAAGGTGTTGGGAAGTGCAGCCTCCTGCTCCTGCTCCACAAGGCTGGGAAACAGCAGCAGCCTGAACCCAATTCCAAGGTTGGACTTTTCCATCAGGACCAGCAAGACTCCAGACAGACTGCAAGAGAACCCATCTGCAAATGATGTGGGCAAATCTTTTCTGTCCAAGCAACAGGTGAGCTTGTTCACCCTCAAGCAGAACTGTGCTCCATGTTCCAGGAACTCAAGCAGAACTTTGTCTCTCTTTGCAGGAGAGAGAGGCCTCTGTCCCTCATGGTGACTTTGTTTCTCTCCCTTTCTGTTTCTCCCATATAGCAGATGGAAATCTCAACGTGGCAGAATCCAAACCCAGGCAGGAACTGCAACACTTTGCTTTCCTCCCAAGACTCTGGAGACACCAAGATGTCCCCTTCTCTTGCCATTTCTCCCTCCTCCAGCTTTGAAACATTTCTTCCAGTTACAACCACAATAAGTTACTTGTTCAGACTTTGTTTCTGCATTTGCCTGTCTGACCCACCTTCCAGAGCACATCATTTGGAAAATGTTCTTCCCCACACCAGCCCCAGTTGTGTTTGCACTCAGTGCCTTCAGTGACCCCTCAATCTTCACCTCCTCTTTGCCTGTTTCAGTAAAATAACCAACCAGGGCTTCTGTTCCCAACAGAGCAAGCTCAGGACAGGAGAGAGGTCTCCAGAGAGCACATTCCTCAAAGTTTTCCCATTGTAAGGGAGCTCCACACCCTGCACTCTCACCTGGGAAGCCCATCTGGCCAGGCAGGTGTCAGTACCATTGCAAGCAGAGATGTCTGCAGAGGAAAGCACTTCTAAGACATGGAGAAGTTTCCAAACATGATTCCAATGTGACACCTCAGGTCCTCTCCCAGCAAAGAGACTGCTTGTTGTTGCTGATACTTGATTTTGCCAAGCATTTACAGCTTAGATTAGCAGAAAACCCTGCCCATAGGCCAGCTAACTATTCAGAACTGCAGAGACCAAAGGAACAAAGAGGGATTGTCAATTTAGCACTGACACTGAAAAACTGCATGAAGCAACAGCAGAAAAACCCCGAGAGAGAGGAGAAGAAAGGAAAACACAGTGGCTAATGCTGCTTCTGCTTGGGCTGCAGCAGCCCCACAGAGAAAGACACAGCTGCAGCTTCTGGGGGCCCAGTGTTTCTCCAAATCTATTCTACAAAACTGAACTGTGTACTGAAAGCAAAATGAGTCCCTCAGTAGGGGAGAAGCAGAGATGCTGGATCGAAGTCTGAGCACTCCAAGCTCTCAGAGATGCATGACAAGGTTAAACTTCTGCCCAGGCCACAACTGCCCCATCGGGAGCCTTTCACTCCCATCTCCTTCTGGCCACAGAGGTTCATTGCCTGCAGGGCTGATCCCTCTGCCCCCCTCACACCCTGTGAGAGCCCAGCTACCCCCTCCACCTCACCAAATCACAAACACCAACTCAGCCACTCTGCACAGGACCACACAGTTTGCAACTCAGCTTTGGAGAGCTGGAAGGAGATAACTTCTGGTTTAGGAAGCAAGACACAGATAACAGCTCATTCTAGTCCCTGTCAGCAGAGACAGGGCTTTGAGGTGGGGTTGGGGAGTTAAAAATTATTTTTCATTGTTTGGAACTGATAGATTTTTTCTATAGAGATCAGTGAGAAAGGCAGATTTCCTTAGCAGGGCTGGGAAAACAACCCAGGGCATTCCCACTAGGATGTTAGCTCCAGGTTTGAGGCAGCCCTAGCCCTGCTGGCCTCCAGCTGATCAGCTTCTGGGAAAGCTGAGGTTTTAACCTTTCCCCTGGGTGCTCTGACCAAGCACTGCCCCTCTCCTCACCCATCCCATACAGGCACTTCCTCGCCCTCCTGCTCACTTTTGTTAACCCCCTGAGACTGCACTGAGAGCTCACCCCATGGGCTGGGTCAGAGCAGAGGTGCCCCCACACCACATGCCAGATGAATGTCTGACTCCAGCTTCCTCCACTTCCCGTCCTTTGATCCCGGCAGGAGCAGCCAGCACAGAAACTGGGACACTGCTGCTGGGTCACTAATGGAGCACATGAGTAAGGCAAGGTGGGGACGCCTTCCCAGCGAGGCCTGGCCCTCCACATCACCCTGCTGGAAGGCTTTGCCCCTAACCCAGCCCAGAACAGGTCTTCCCACTACACAGGAAGGGGAAGTGACTCCTGCAGAGGCAGGAAAAGCCTGTTCCACTGCCCCACAGCTCCTGTGCCAGGGAGCCCGAGCCTGCTGGGGGCTGAGGCTGCAGCACCTCTCCTCCTCACTGCACCCACACCAGGGGCATTTGGGCTAGGCCTCCCTGGAAGACACCAAACCAGCATCACCTCGCTCGGATTAGACTGCTGGCACCAGCACCGTCTTCCTCAGGAGCTGCTTCAGCAGCTGGCACAGATTAAATTAAGGGACAGCGGCATCACCACCTCCAGGAGATGTGCTGGATCCAGGGGGCACAGCTAAACCTCCTGCACAGATCTGACTGTGCCTGTGGCACCTCTACTGCACAGCAGAGCTGTCCAGGGATCGCTGGAGGAGGGAAGACAGGGCACACACCTGGGCTGTGGCCCCAGGAAGCTGACACCACAGGAGACACCTGCCAGGAGCACCCCAACACTGCTGGGACCTTCTCTGCAGCACTCACCCATCCCAAACAACACTGAAATGGGCACAGCTCGAACCAGGGAGAGACAAAACTCCAACTCTACATTTCCAAAACCCACCCAGGCTCCCTAAGTCCTCTTGCACAAACCTCCAGTGGATGCCCGGAGCTTCCCAAGCCCTTTCAGCTCCCCAGGACCCCTGTGAGCACAGCCCATGCTGCCCACAGCACGCACAGGCCCAGCCCAGTGATCAGCTGGGGCAGCCAAAGTCCAGTGTGCCTCAGGGCAGGGCAGCCCAGGCTCCCCACTCCCTTCTCCCCCCACCATCCCTGCACAGCTGCTCATGAACCAGAGTAAAGCACATTCAGGAGACCTGAGACTCGGGATCCCCTCCTGCCTGGGTTAGTTTTCAGCTGAATGATTGCACAAAGCAAGCACCAGCACGAAGGACACAGCAGGACAGCAGCTCAGCCTCTGCCAGCTGGCCCCACAACGATGCCAGTGCTGCCCCAGCTACAGCAACACCTGTTCAGGTGAGCCTGGGGAAATTGGAGCCACAAGGGTGGCTAAGGAGTGACCCCTCACTCCTCATTTTTATTTTACCAGGCTGTCTGCCCAGACACACTTTCTTTGCTATTTTACAGCCCCAGAACCTCGAAGTCTTGCAATTCCTCAGGCCCAAGAGGGTTCCCAAACGATGGAAGCAGCCACTGCCAAGCTGCCCTCCCAAACAGGCACTTCTGGCATGGGGCAGGCTGCAGGAACAGATTTTCTGGGGGGACAAAAAAAGTTAAAGTGCAAGGATTAAAGGGGAATTAAAGACTTTAAATTTCCCACTGTCCAAACTTTGGAAGAGCTTACTTCCAGGGAAATGGAGCTGAGCACCTTCGCTGGGAGGGGAAGGGGCGAGAAAGATCGAACAACTCTCGGTAAGGAAAGCACCGAGTACGCGCTGCCCCAGCCCCTGCCCCGCCGCCCTCCCCGGCCCAGCCGGTCCCTTGGGAGCGGCCCAAGGCGGCACGGGGACAGAGGAGCGGCTCCCCCGGCTGGAATCCGCCTCCCGCCGGTGCCAGCTGGCACGGGCCGGCCGGACGGGCCGGGCACCGGGGACCCGCACCTGTGCCACCCCCGCGGGGCCGGGGGCACCGCCCCGCCCGGGGCCGGCTGCGGGAGCGGCTGCGGGGCCGCGCGGGGCCGGCGGAGCCCGGGGCAGCCGCGGCCCTTTTCCCTTTTCCCGTGCGGGAAGCGCGGCCACGCTTGCACTCGGCCCTGCCCTCCCGACCCCGGGCCGCCCTCCCGCCGCCCCCTGGGCCCGAGCGGCCGCCGGTCCCACGCGGCCGCACAAAAGGGCCCCGGGGCCGGGGCTGCGCCTCCCGTCCCCCCGCGCCGGGCGGGCCCGGCCAGCGCCCCGGCCGCGGCCCCGCTCCAGCCGGGACACCCGGCGCTCCGGGGCGGCGGCCCCGCGGGCCCGGCGCTCACCCGCGAGCCGCCTCCAGGCTCTTGATGAGCTTCTTGATCTTCCAGATCTCCACGTTGCGGTCGGCAGCGCTGGGATCGTCCGCCATCTTCTCCCTCCTCCTCCTCCTCCTCCTCCTCCCGCGGCGGCAGGCGCTGCGGCGGGCGCGGCGGCGCGGGGCGGGCGGGCGGCGCGGAGCGGGGCGCTGGGGCCGGGTGTGTCCCGGGCGGTGCCGGTGCCGGTCGGGCCCCGCCGCTCGGTGCCCGCTCCCCCCGGCGCGCGGCGCTGACGTCGCACGCGGTGCTCGCGCTCCCCCGCGCCGCGCACCATGTGTTGCAATCGCCTCACATGGGGGCCCTTGACGTCACTTCCGGGGGGAGCCGGCAGCGGGGCGCCGCGCCATTGGCCGCCGCCCCACCCCGAGCGCGCGCGCGGGGCATTGTGGGGCGCGTAGTCCGGAGCCCGCCTGGCGGGGCGGGAGCGCGCGCGCGCGCGTCTCGCGAGAGCTGCGCAGAAAGGCCCGCGCGCGCTTAAAGGGCCCGTGAGGGGACGGGCGGGGCTCGCGCGGGAACAGCCCCGGCACGGACACCCCACAGCCGCTCTGCACCATCAGCTCACGGCCAAGCACAGCCACCGGGGTTTTGTGTCACCCGAGAGCTCGCACTGACCCCCCCCCCCCATCCAAGCCACGGACGGCCACGTCCATCAATGTCCGCAAGGGAGAGGCCTCCGGGCTACGGCCCCCCGGCAGTGCCCAGCCCGTCCCGCGGTCCCCTCATCCAGCGCACAGTGCCCGGCTCTGCCCAGGAGGATTCCAGCCCGGAGAGGGAACGGCCAGGGCTGTGCGCCCATCCATGCAGGGCCTGCCGCACTGTAGGAAGCAGGCATGCGGGTCAGACACAACTTCCCTTTAATGAACTCACACCGATGATTCCTGAGCACATGCTGGGCCACCTCTGTCCCCTCTGGTGGAAACTGTCCTGAGTGCCAGAACAAAACCCATCCTTTCCTCCCCCTAACACTTGAGCAGGCAGGACAGAGCAGCCGGAAACGCGGGTTCTGCTCCAGCTCAAGAGACACAGAGTAACAGATGGGGAAAAAGGAGACACAGCCACATTTCTGCATCTCCCTGCAAGGCTGGGCCGCTGGAAGCACAGTGGGCAAGCGCTGCTCCAGGCTGGAGCCTGCTCTGTAAGGCTAAGCCCGAGCACAAGGTGCCTGATGGTGAAGTCCCAACGCTACTGCAGTCACAGGACCTGGGGCAACTCGTGAGAGCAGCACTGCCACGCTCAGCAGAGCCCAGCCCCAACCTGACACCAGAAACCTCCCTTTGTGCCTGTGAATGAAGCACAAGTTCAGAAAGTTACAGCTGCCTGGCTGTTCCCTCTGCAGCTGTCACAGGCAGTAAAGTGCTTGTGCTCTCCATCAAAGGCCAGGAGACCAGGAACTCCACGTTGGACACTTTTCTGCTTTTATTTTAAAAAAATCCAGAATGGATCCAGTAACAGTTTTATTATCAAGGAAATTGTTTTACCATAAGCAGAGAACAGACACAGGATGGAGCAGAAGGCTTAGACAAGCAAAGTATTGAACTTCCACGCTGCCTCTTTTGTAAGAAATAATGTTACAGCTGAGTTTGAAGTAGCCCCTTTCCTTCAGAACAAGGGTACCAGCCTAGCTCAGGGCTAAATGGTCTCCAGCAATGTCCCCAGCCTTGCCCCTGCTGCTCCCAGCTCCTCAGACCCACGAGGAGGAGCCATGCAGGCTGAACTCTCCTCCCCATGCCCGGACAGCTTCCATCTCCACCCTCCAATTTCATGACATGGTTTCCAAGCTTGGATCTCGGATTTACTACACCATTGTGTCAAGTATTAAATGATCAGCCAGTCCCCAGGTGCTCAGGGAACACGCCAGGGCCAAACTCGTAACTATGTCTGGCATGAATTAACTTTCATCAAGTGACAATTTATCTAGCAGACACATCACTAAATTTATACATTGAAGAATTTTATATATAGAATACTGCAAAAACACAGTAAGTCTGAATTCTGCCCCTTGCTGCTCAGGAAGGTCCCTTCTCTCCCAAGCATCAAGAAAATCGACCTCTTCATCATTCTCTTGTCAAGGCAAGACAGAGACTCCTCCTTATTGCTTCTCCTCTTTCTGATCTCCTGCACTTCCAGACCCCTCTCGCTCCGAGGCCATCTGTGAACAAACAGGTTTATTATAGAACAAACTGCTTCCCCTGGCTGGCTGCTCAGGTCAGCTCCGGCCTGCAGAACCCTCCCTTGAGTGCAACCAGCAATGTCCACTGAGAAGGGAAATCTTCATCTCTGCCTGAGCTCTGAGAGCAAGAAACAATCTCCCCATGATTCCCTTTCCCAGAGGATGTAACAGGCTGACACTGCAGCACTGAAGGTTTGGTTTGACATCAGGGAAGCAGCTGTCCCCAGAAAGGACAGCTCAGCACCAAGGTCACCTGGGCACTGTGCCCCTGCCATGCTGGGACTCCTCCCTGCACAGGCAAGCACAGCCTGGCAAGGTGCCAGGGGCTGGGAGGGCCTTCCACTGGGAATGGGGTGGAGAAGAAATCCCAATGGCCTTCACTGTGGCTTTAGGCAGACTGAACAGCAATCGTGTTTTAAAGCTCAGGAGTTACTTTACTCCTTCACTGCACTGAGGGGAAAGCCCTCTCCTTACTCTTCTGAATGCTCCTTACTAGGAGCTTCCCACCCAGCCTGAAGCACGGTCAGGATTTCAAGCTTTCAGCTCTCCCCGCCATTCCAGCGCTCTCCCTTCAGCCAGTGTCACTCAGAGGGAGCTGCAGAGGCTCAGCACCACCTCCCACCCAAGGGTTCAGTGTCCTGACTCCCCCCTTCCCATCTGAAGGCCCTGACTGAGAGCTGCCCATGCACCTACCTTCTTGTATGCCATTTCAAAGAGTTTCAGGGAAGCCTGCTGCAGGCTGGTTGCTGCCTGCCTGATGTTCTCTCCTGTTTCACTATCTTTACGAGCCAGAAGTTCTCTCATTTTAGCAATTTCTTCCTTTAACTTGTTGCACTGCAAAGAAGACACGAAGGTGAAATGCTGCACTTGGTTCATCGTTAATCTCCACCCTGTCATGCCACCACCAGCTGGCCCCCTTTCTGTGCCAGAAGCCACGGAGTGGAGCCTCCAAGTGAGTGTGCAGGGCCTAGGACTGTGCCCAGCTCCCAGTGGGCACCTGTCCACTTCACCAACAGTGTCCCAGTTGGCATTAAAGGGGCCCTGTTTGCTGTCTGGGCAGAGGTGCCAAGAACAGAGCTCTGCAAGGCCTGGCCACTGGCCAAGGCTGTGTTCTGTGCCTGGCACAGCTCACCTGGCACAGCCATGCCAGGGCAGGGGACAGCAAGCTGGCTTCCATGGATATTGAAGCCCTGCTGGGGAGCTGCTCCTGCCCTGCTCAGTCCCTGTGCTGCTCGTGGAGCAGGAGCTCAGAGCAAAGCAGCAGAGTGGGCTCAGGCTGGCCCAGAGCCATCTGCCAGTCCCTACACAGGCTGGCACTGCCTCCTTCCCTGGCAGGCTGCTGGAGGGGGCTCACGGGCACAGCTCTGCAGCACACCAGGGGACAGGGACACAGAGTGCCAGCCACCATCAGCACCAGCCAGCACAGGCTGCCCCCACCTCCCCAGGGAAGGCACAGGGCACAGTCCCTGCAGGGAATAGGGATTTAGGCTCCGTGCTCCAGTGAGAGGAAACTCTCACATAATTCCAAACAAAGAGGCAGCTATTATCATGGAATCACAGAATAGTTTGGGTGGGAAGGGACCTTAAAGAACATCTCATTCCAACCCCTGCCATGGTCACTCAACCAAGTTGTTCCAAGCCCCACCCAACCTGCCCTTGAGCACTGCCAGGGATCCAGGGGCAGCCACAGCTGCTCTGGGCACCCTGTGCCAGGGCCTCAGCACCCTGCCAGGGAAGGATTCCTTCCCAATATCCCATCCATTCCTGCCCTCTGGCAGTTTAAAACCACTGCCCCTCGTCCTGTTCCCATCTGCTGGCAGAGAAACAGCCTTTCACTGACCAGAGGCTGCTACCAACAAACTGTAACTGTGCTCCTTCAGACACCTCAGAGCCCCCAGGAGCCCTTTAATTCTGCTTCCCAGAGCTGTTAAATTGGTAATTGGGTGCACTCTTCTAAACTTGACTTTTGAAATTCACAATGCACCGCCTCAGAATGCTGTGAAAAGCACTCTTGGATACCAAATACCCATTTTATTTCTGAGAGAGAAAAACTGGAGTGGGGGGCTGCTTTTTACTGCCCCCAGGTTCCTGGATGCTGTGCACACACTGCAGGAGAGCACAGCAGCTGTGCCTCTGTCCCTGTGCTAACAAGGGCAGGCACTGTCCTCAATCCCCAGCCTTGGAGCAAACCCCCTGTGAGGAGCCAGCCACAGCACAGCCCTTATCACTGCACACAAGGCCACAGCTCTGACAGAAACCTCTGAGCAGCTTCCCAGGCTGATGAACCCACAGAGCCTCAGTGACACCACCCAGCACTCTGCAATAGGTTATTTGCCAGCACCCAAACCCTGTTCCCCTAAGGATGTCTGTCCATCCCCCCCTCAGCCACACTCAGCCCTCCCAAGGAGTGCCACAGGCAGAGGTGCAGGGCTGTGCCACCTTCACCCAGCACAGAACCACGGCCAGAGCCAGCTGGGAGTTGAGTGAGAATGTGAGCAATGATTCTGTGAGGAATTTCACGCGCTGTAACACTCCAGGATCAGGAACCACCCACCTCATCTGCTGGCAGCTGATCCTTGAACTCTTCCATCTTGGACTCGGTGTCGTGGATGATGCCCTCGGCCATGTTCACGGCCTCCACGCGTTCCTGGGGGAAGAGAGCTCGTCAGGGCTGCTGCCCACACCCCAGTGACACACATGGTGACATTTCATGCCCAGACTGCCAAGCCCCACAATAGCTCCCACCCAGGGTCCTTCTCAATGGCACCAGGACAAGAAGAAATGCAAGCAAACCATTCCTAGGTGCACTGTGGCCTCACAGGGCCCCAAGAGGAGCCTGTGCCAGCCAGCCAACCCTTTCACTCACAGTCACTCCCATGAACTATAAGTGACCAATGCACCACCGCTGCTGGCACATGGGAAAGGACAAGACACCTC